GCACTTTCCCTAACCTCGTAAAACACAAAAAAAAAGATCAAAAAAAGGTAAAGGAGATAAAACCGTCAAAAGATTCAGTTCGTCCCTAGAACAAAGCTATCGCTTTCCGCCATTATTAGAAAAATGGTAACATATTGTAAGTAGTAAACTGATAAGCATGCATGAAAATCGATTTTCAAGCAACTCATAACCGATAAGATGGGGTATCTGACTGTTTTTGTTGTCTGGGTGTCCATTGCATCAGTGACCTGCTGTACTGGATCTGGGCCGTGGTGGAATTCGCGATGCAACTTTCCACTGTGTAAATCAAGAACAAACTGCCGCAACCTTCCTTGGACTCTGAAGAAAAGATAAAAGATTATAATGAAAACTGCATTTAAAATTAGGAAGAAAAATTTCAATCAAGGCTAGATTCTACAAACTCACTTCATGTCTTCAGTGTTTGGGAAAAGATACATGTGTCGGAAAGAGTCTATCGCAATTACAGGCAGATCACTTTCACGTTTGCCAAGATGGTGCAAAGGATGTGCGAATTTTTTACCATCGGCCACAAGGCAGTTCACAGCAGCTGCAAAATATATTGCATTCATTTATCGTCTTACAAGTAAGAAAAATTACTTTTCTGATCCGGTATTTCTCTAATGACCGCTTCTGTGAAAATCCTCTCACTCTCTTTATCGTCAGGATGCCGGAACAAGATCAAGAATGGAAGTCCCTCCTATATTGCGATGAACATTATTCGTTAACCGTAGAAAGAAGACAAACCCACCTCCGTCAATTCTTCCGCATTTTCAAACGTGATTTCTCGCACAAGTGGTATACATTTGTCAGATACCCATTGCCTGCAGGGAATGATTTTCTAACAAAGTTGGTAAAATATTATAAAAAATACGATACAATTGATACTTCAAGAAAACCTACTTCAGAAGATTGAAATCTTGCATAGTGCCAACTAATGGAGATTCTTCGGGAACCTGAAGAACAAAGGCTCGAAGCGGAAAAGCGAGCAAATTCTGAGTTTTAACCTACATTTGCCTTTCTGAACGACACAGAAGGTCCACTTGCAAGTTTGTCATTGAAATCCGGTCCAGTAGCAACAAAGAATGAGCATTCCTCTCTCAATATAGATGACACCTAAAATTTAAAAATATGGCTGTGCTTTGGCGATCATTGAATCGGGCAATAAACAAACAACAGCAGGAGTGATCACAAGCTTTGAAAATTCGAGCAGTATATAAAAATCATATAATAGACTGTAAATTGACTACCTTCTTTAAGTTCTCGTATTCAGGGCCAGAGAGCTGACTGAAGTATGCAATCACATTTCGCTTTTCCGGCTAGAACAAAAAAATTTCCAGAAATTTAACGAAATACGTGGTAGGTAGCTCACTTACATCGAGTTTTTGCTTGAGCTCTTCAGCGTTGTGAACTTCCACAATGCTCGAATCTAGCTGTTTCTGCACAAATTCCGAAAGTGCTTCGACCGAACGTTGGCTTCTATAAATAAATATCAAAATTCAATCTGAGTACGCACTGTGACTTTTGCTGACTGTGACTGTGACACTGCATGTATACTCAAACTGCATACTGAATTATTAGGTTGGAACGAAAGTTCTCGGACATTTTCAG